GAAGGCGATGCCGGTCCAAGCAGCAGCTTTATGCGTTTGGAGCTCCGATCCATACACCCCGATAATGGCACCAACTATCACAAGTGACACAAACGTTCCGAAGGCTCCACACATCAGCAGCGGGCGTCGGCCGACTTTGTCAATGAGGAAAACGGCCGGCAATGTCGATAGAGTATTCACTATACCGTAAACACCAGTTGCCAGCAGCGAAGTCGTGTTGCCTGACAGTCCAAGTTGGCCAAAAATTGTCGGTGCGTAGTAAATCATAGCATTGCAACCCATAAACTGTTGAAGAAACATAATGACGCATCCTACGGACAGTCGCTTGAAGGCTGGCCATGTTGAAACAAGTGAGGCGTATTGAGACAGGTATAGACTGATACCACTCTTACCCGGGAACTTGTCTCGTGCTGTGTGTTCATCGAAAAGCACCTCCGCTTTGATGCCAAGGTATTCTTCACGTAGACTGTCCGAGTCGGCATCGACACGTCGTATTGTTCCTAAAGCACGGAGAGCCTTTTCTTCGTTGCTGCGCATGAGGTAAAATCGAGGCGATTCAGGGAAAAACAGCATTCCGACGCCTAGAATCAAAGCCGGGGCAATTTGCAGGGCAAAAGGCACTCTCCATGCTGCTTCACTCTGACCAGTGCAACCATTCAACCCAACGTCGCGTCTAGGGTCAAACTCACGATTTGACGGTGTCCCTCCCGTATATGGGATGTCAGGTGAACATCTAGTTCCCCCAATATATTGTGTGCCATATTCGAGCCAATAGCTTACAAGAATTCCAAGCGTAATACTTACTATGATATCGGTTGTTAGTTTGTTGCGCGCAAAAAAAAAAAAAAAAAATACGTGATTGCATATATGTCGTTGGCCACACTCACACTGCTGCAAAACAACCAATGTACCTCGAATGCCTGGTGTTGAAACTTCGGACATGTACATGGGCACAATCATGGTCAACATGCCCACCGCCAATCCTGCAATGGCACGCCCTATAGATATGCAGTTGAGTATCATGCTCCAATCCGTCAAGGGCATCAGAAATTGTCTGGCTCACCTGCAAACAGAACACCGAGAGATCGCGCCGCGGCTTGAAGTGCAGATCCTAGCACAAAAACAACAACGGCCGCGAGCATAGAGCCCTTGCGGCCGAAACGGTCTGCAATTGGGCCATTGGCCAAAGAGCCCAGCCATGCAGCAAGGAGTAAGGTAGAGACAAACCAGCCCTTGAAGCCACTGTTAAGGTAAATCCGAGGGAACTCCGCGGCGAAGGACTCCATTTTCAATACTCCGGAAACTACGCCTTGGTCATACCCAAAAAGAAATCCGCCCAGAGACGCAAACTTTAAAAAATTATTAGTCAATCATGTACTCCCGTAACCCAGCCCGCAAAACGAAAGACATACCATAGAGAGGCCAAAAATGTATGGATTCGCCCGCAGTTGGCGCCACACGCCGCCACTGGAGGAACTCTGATCCATGACCTGAGACATTCTGGAACAGCGTAAATGCACTAAAATTCGGGGAACATAACAATCAGTGCGCAGAAGCTTTGCCACGTGCTGTGACAGAGATCTCCCCGGAAATGTTAGATTCCAGACCTGGAACTTTATACTTTATCTGAATTACCCCAGAATGCGGACAAGCAAAATCCGGAGGTTGCTTCCCCAGATGGAGAGCATATTTCTTCATTGCATGAGGAACATGACTCTGTCGGCGCGCGGACGACTCTGGTCCGGTCCAATGAGCGACGCTGTAGAGAAGTTACCAGTACTGACCCCACATTCTCATTACATCTTTGAGTGTGCCGATTCGGATGCCTGCAACCCGGCAACATTGAAGGGTGGAGCAGTGGAAGAAACTAACTTGGCGCTGGGCCAGTTATGCCGAGAAACTTCGTCGGTGCGATGCTAGTTTTTGGCAGCTCATACGCCTTGACCAAAGTCAGACCACCCCAATGAGCTGAAAACTTCAGTCGGATCCATTGGCCAGGACGAAAAGTCGAAATCGTCCGAAAACAATGGTGCCTCACCTACAACAGTGGTTGTTGCGTTTTCTGTCATTTGAGGGAGAACAAGACTTAGTATGTCCGCACACCGAGAAGCGAGAGGGTTCCTGGCCAGTGTCGTGCGAAAAGTGCTTCTCGCTGTTTCGACATCGGTTTGCCATGACGTGATATCGGGAGACTCCATGTCGCCTAAAATGGCGAGAGCACTGATCAGGGATGCGTGAAAAAGAAAGTACCTAATGATCTGTCAATACCTGATTGCTTGTTTTGCAGTCATTGTATAAATGTGATACGTACGTCGCGTACCAATTGATCAATCTCGTCATTGTTGTTTGGCTGAGGAACAGGCTAATGGATGAAATAGTTGCATGGGCAGCCTGTACGGCCAAATCCCGGCACTCATTATCCATTTCCGTTGATCGAGTAGGTAAAGTAGCCCGTTTCCTGCTCATGGCCCGGTTTAATACGATCTGTCGGAATAAAATTATTTTTAAGTTCCAGATACGCCACCAAAGGCGAGACTTGGCGTACAAATAGGAAGCATCCAAGCTGACGTGGTCTTCATTAATCTTGAAATAGCCCGGCAAAGTCTCTGTCCATTTCTCCAGAGACTGGTTCAATCTTATCGCTTCTTCGGAGCGGATTCCCTCAGTTGCCAGAAGTCTGTTTGAGATGTAATTTGAGTGCACATGGAAGTCGCTCTGCGATTTGATGCTAGAGTATCTTGTGGGGAAATTGGACTCTTCAGGCAAGTCAACAGTCCTCGGCGTGAGTTGCTACGACAGGTTACTGCCTGAATATCAGATGAATACCCGTGTTCTCTTACCTCATCATGAATGTTAAGAACGTGCTTTACGTCCATGGCGTCTCCTTCGGGTAGCAAAACTGGCCGGCCAAAAGTCGTCGACGCGCCACTGTCGAACAAGAACAACCCCCACCACACTCGTCGCCTCATTTCTCTCTGCAGGAGGGATATGTTCCAATCCGGCAGTTCACGGTGCAACCCCAAGCTAAGAGCCATGCGAGTTGCGAGGCCTAGGAAGTTTCCTCCAGTGTTTGGTTTGTTTCTTTTCTGGCTAAGGTTGGACAAGAGAAGCAATGCCTGGACTAGCGTCAGATTGGCACTCTCGAAGAGCGACTCGTCTTCCCTGAAGGACAAAGCGCGGTGATAAAGATAGTCGTCTATTTCGCTTTCCTCGTTGTCGAGACACCAGGCTCCCAGGGCTAGAACGGTGTGCAGGAGCATTTGCCATGATTGTTGATTTGGTTGCGGAATCAATTGGTGATACTGTGCCATGAATGTTGCTTCATGGATAAAAGGATAAGAAACATGATATACAGAAAAGTACGCATCGAGAAATTGGTTTGCCATATAGCCGGATTCCAGAGATTTTTTAATATGTAATGATGATGAAGGTGATGGTTTAGAGTGTCTTGGCGAGGCTGTCGTTAATTGAAATGGATCCGAACCGGCTCGTCTGCCAGCAACCCAAGTAAGCAAGGCTCGAAGAAAGTAGACTCCAGCGGTAGACCCTGGAATAAAACATTAGCACACAAAAATACGCTTATTTTAAAGAAGAAAAATGTTACTAACCTAGATATCCTGTGCCCGTAGGCTCAACGGCCAACGCAGCCATACCATCAACCAAGTCATTGGCCTCCTCTTGCCAGTCAAAGCCATCCGCTTCGTTGGGAACAGCCTCGGATATAGATTCATGCACAATTTGGTCTTTGGAACTTACAGCTGCATGAGTAGCAGTGTTTTGGCGGTTGTCTTCTGGAAATGACAGTGGTTTTGTCTGGACTGGCGTGGTTAGAGGCGAAGCAGAGGCAATTGAAGCCAAGGCCACATCAACATCCAGGTCGGGCAACTTCTGAGTCACTAATTTTTCCAAATAATAAAGCCGCTTCTCCACAGAAGTCAAATACCTAGCGGGTGGTCAGTAGAACTTCCACCGGGGAATCGTGAAGCGTGAGAAAACGTGCTGTCTAGTCAGTGGCGAGCGAGCCACCTTTCCGCTGTAATGGCATTGTCTACCGTTCTGCACACATGCAGCACAGCTTGGCCTATCTTTGGAGCACTAGCAGACTCATAAGTTATTTTTTCTAATCTTTGAAGATTTTGTATTAGGTGTTACCGACTTTTAACTTCTTGATCCGGCAGGCATCACACTGCACGGAGCGTCGTCAGCAAAACTGGTGTGCTTTAGTGGACGGGTGCACCCAAACTTACTGCAAGTATGCCAGCGGTTCCAGAGCTTGATTCCATCTAGAAGCAGTTCATAAGAAAGCTAAACTATAACGTGCGGTATTAACAATGCTTCACCATATCAAATAAATGCTGATGTGTGATGTCTGGGCCAGATATGAGCATGTCCGTGGCGGGGTTCGATCTCTCCTGGTGGCATCACGTGTGGGCGCTCCCGTCTCGAGCTGTGAGCAACCTGATGATGACAGGAGTTGCATTGTTGCAGCAGCGTACAATGAATATTCTATGATGCACTATGGCTTTGCCATTTAGTTCGCTATTCGACCTTTTAAAATATCCGTAAGTCTATGTATTGCGTGTTGAATCTCTTGACACTATTTTGCAGCCGCTGAAACCCTTAGATCCCACAGTGCGACAGCTGCACCTCAATTTATCTATTTGTATTCCGCACGGACATAGCCAGCCAATTAGAACAAAATTATGGCAGATTTATAGCAAACTTATTTACTCCGTACTGCATCCATTAGTTTCTTTTTCTAATTGTTTTATAAGCATATCCAGCACCGGCATACATTGAGAGAACTACACCATCGCTCGCCAAATCCATCCTCTCATTCCGCACCAGCAGACCAACCAGTCGCAGTCACACAAAACCGTTAGTCTAAAATCTCATCGCTTCTCACTTCCCACCACCCACAGCCCAGCGCAAGTAAAACAACACAGCTGTGCCAATGCGAAACAAAATGAAAGGCTAGGTTCCAGCAAAAATGAAATCAATGACACCTGAGGGATTCGAACCCTCGCCTATTACTAGACCGCGAATAGATAACCGTAATACCTGGGTACTCGGGCTCACCTGAACACGGCGCCTTAGACCACTCGGCCAAAGTGCCTTGGATGCTTATCTTGTGGGTCTACGGGGACGTTAATCATCTCAAGAACGCAGGAGTAATGTCTTGTGAGTCATGATGATACAATTTGTGGGCATGGGAATACGGAGTAGAAACCCGCGCAGAGGATAATAGACTAGTCTAGATCAGGATTCAAAGGTGAGAATTTTTCTCTTTTGTTGGTGGCGTCCAGGTATTTCCGATTTTGGTAATTGCACGGAGAAAACTCGGCTCACCCTATACTCCATAATCGGGATGGTGTCTGGACAAGTGATTTAGGTGTAAGGGTCGCTGGGATGATAATTTTTTGAGTGGTAAGTACTGTAGACAGTTTGGGGTCTCTTTATGATTACCCGGATAGGAAATGGGGGCTTGTAGATCGGAGATGAAGTTGCAAGTGGCTTGCTCAATGAAAATTATACATAAGACAGCCGGGACAAGGCAGGAAACATTTAAAGAAAACGACACTTGGCGTCACATCTCAATTAAATCTCTGGAAAGCAATATATCAAGCTGTCAAAGCATAATTATCGAAATGTCTTGTCCCGAGCATATGAACAGCACTACTTTCCCTACGGAAGCCGGTGTTACCCTCACATCAGTCTACGCGAACGATCCCAACACAACCCCCCAGCTTGTCCAATCCATTATCGAGCGCGATGGAGCCATCATAATCAGAGGCTTCGTGGCCAAGGAACTATGCGAAAGGGTCAGAAAGGACCTCAAATCACAGTTTGAATCCGACCGAGTCGACGAGTCGGGATTCTTTCCCACGACTACGAAACGAGCCCATGGTATTTTGGCGTACTCGGACGCAACGGCCGAGTTGCTCGTAAACTCTCTTTTCCAATCTGTTGCCAGCAGCATGTTGACTAGCAACTATACCTATTGGGAGGGACAAGGCAAAAAATCCGTTTCTGCTAAGCCCCAGATAGCTAGTATTGTTGGGTTTCGCGTTGAGCCGGGAGGCACGCAGCAGGCTCTGCACCGAGATGATGCGGACTATCACACTAGAAACTGTGACATGCCTGCTATGCTGGGTTGTGTGACGGTAAGGGATCATCCCCCAATTGCTGTCTCAATCCCTTTCATAGATGTGAAACGAGATGGCCCGCAGGGGATGGAACTGACCAGCAGTCATAGGCTTTGACCCGAACTACGAAAGAAAACGGCGCGACTATTGTCATTCCTAAGAGTCACTTGTGGGGACCTGACCGTATGCCATTCAATGAAGAGGCAATACCGGCGGAGCTTGAGGTAGGGGATGCCACAATTTTCGTTGGTAACGTTTACCATGCCGGCGGGGCCAACACTACGCAGTAAGTTGTCGCGATGCCGAAATAGGCATTGTAAAATATCCACCCTGGGCACGCGAAGAAGCTGACTCTTTCTGCTTTTAGGAACGACGCTCGAGAAACCATAGGAATGTTTCTGTGCAAAGGAATTCTCCGCCAGGAAGAAAACTCATATCTCGAAGTGCCGCCGGAGCTGGCAAAGAAGCGAGGCTTCTCGCCACAGGTGTTGCGCCTTCTTGGATACGGCATCGCGCCACCAGCTTTAGGGCTGTACCAGTACCAGGATCCCATGAAGGTCATTTTTGGCGTCGAGGACGAGGAGACGGTGAGGAAGTAAGTCTGGTTTTGTAGTTGTGTAGTGTGAGGTGCGATTTCAAACAGGGAGAACTTGGTATCCGTGTTCCTGGAATTGTCTGGCAAGTGGTCGCCAATCAGGGTCATCGCCGTGCCAAAAGACGCCCAGGAAACCGAGAATTTCCGCATGGTTCTTGAATTCCGTCGTTCTCATAATATCCGTCAGTAGTTTAGCAACAACTTCTTGCTTCCAAACGTCATCGAAGCATTCTGTTCCGGCGATGAAGGCTGGCCACGGCAGATTGTGTGCGCACAGTGCCAAATCTTCCAACGCACATAATTCCTCAAATAACTTCTCAACTGAAGCCTTCCAATCAATGTTTTCGTACGTGGCGTAGCCCATGCATCGATATGCGTATAGGATGGCCGTGTGGTGATAAATGTCGACTAAGCGGACAAAGTCGCGCCGGACTACGGCTGGCTCGATTCGAAGTTTGCCTGCGGCAAGTAAGGTGGCGCCCCTTGTTTGCTCAAACTGGAGTCGAATAGCTGCTGCATCGGGACAGTTCCCGTGAGTCAGAGTATTGGCACCGGTGGAACATGCGGCGCGTCGAGAGAAAAGTGTGATGTGGTGGAGGAAAGTCAGGTATTGCGAAAAGAGTCCGTCTTCTGTGTCCTGCGGCAGGACAGTTTCTTCGACATCTTGTACATTAAATGACGTCGTCGCTGCTAGTACGTCGTAAATAGATAACTGATTTTGAAGAAAGCGAAAAAGGCCACTATTAGTGGCCCCTTTGGACGCAAACACATTCACAAGAGTTCGAGCAGCCCTTCTGTGACCTTCGGCCGCTGCAATTTGGGAGTTGCTCATCTCGTAGCACGAGATCATGAGAATGGATGCCAAGATCCACTCCGCTTCAGCTATATCACTGAGAGAGTTGAGATCGGCACCGTCTTGAAGCCGTCCCGTCATTCGGCAGATGTGACGGTTAATGAGCCTGAGACAAGCGTCCCTGGCGGCTTCCGGAAATCGAGGCATGTTAAGAGAGAATGTCTTTGCGCCGTGATGGGCAGCGATTGCGGCCACGGCAAACTTGACAGCTGGTGTGCTTGTGGCTAATGGTAGAACACTTCGTCGATAATCATTCTCCTCCGAGTCAAACCAAACCATAAGGCCAGCGAGATTCTTGTCGTAATAGTCAATAAACTCAGGAGAAGAGTTTCGTAGAGTAAGGTCCAATGGCATTGACAGTCCAATACTTGGTTGGCTACTATGTACCAGAGCATGCTCAGCCTGTTCTCTAGAGGCTAAGGGTCCTGAACTCTGTTGAATTGGCGTTTCCCACGAAGTTGGCGCAAGCGGAATCATCTTGCCCTTCATCTTGCCGCGTATAGCCACACCGCCGGCCCATCGCAGCCGTTTACCATAGCCGGGGCATTCCAGTCCACGTTTCACACATTTTTGACAAATCGGACGCGTCAAGTCACATCGAATGCGACGTTTGTTGCAAGTACTACATCCTTCTGCATCGTCGGTTTAGTTAGCATGCGGCGGAAAGCACTGGCGGCGAGCGCAAGAACAAAGACCAGGCAGAGTGCTTGAAGGGTGTTAACCCTTACTTGTACTGGGAGATGAACCTGCGTTGCTAGAGCCCATCTGGGCGATGAAGACACTCTAGACAGCAGTGTATGTGCACAAACTAAAAGCAATTTGACTGGTTCTAGTTGAGACAGTGCTTAAACGGCAGGCCGCAGTCAAGAGGAGATAAACATCAAGAACTTGAGAGTTGAACGAGTGATCTACGACAAACCAAAGAGAAAAAAATGAAAATGAAAAGGTTGCGACGTTGACACGCCGCTTAATTGTGGCAACTCGTGGGGGTCCGTTCTGCGACAGATGGGGTGGCTAAATCCGAATTCCCCGCCAATGAGTCGTAGCTCTGTTGTAAGTCGAACTAACCCTCGCAGAACCTCATCTTGGTCGGACAAAAGGCTTGTAGAACCCTCCCTGTCAATTAAGCGAAAGAAATGAAGATGCTGCCTGGGATAATTCTCGTTTAGGCACTTGGAGTAACCTATCTTGAGATTGGCTAATCAGGTTTATGTTTGCTCCAACTCATCTTGTATCTTAGCTTCAATTACCCGCTATTCCCGCAATGCTCAAACCATATAAGCTCCTTAATAACAGGTTCCAAATCCAACCCAAGTTTCAGAACCCTTTCGCCGTCAAATTGAAACTCCGCATCAACCAGCTCATCATCATTCTTTATGTCGTCTATTAGATGGCCAATGTACTTGGTCTGATCATTGACATGCCTAAACTTCATGGTGAATCCCATAGAACGATCGGTCGCATCAATGAAGAGCTGGTTGTCCTTGATCTCAACCTTTAAGTTGTGGTATCCGGCATTCCGGTAATTGCCCACGTATGCCTTTAGTGGAGTTTCTTGAGGGGGCGAAATAGTTTTACGCTTTTGCGGGTTTCCACCGGATTTATTCTGGCTTTCTCCTTTCGTCTTATTTTTTACTTTTGCTTCAGCTTTCGTATTATCGGCGTTTTTTTGAGTTTGAGCTTGGTCTTCTGCATGATCCTTAGACTGTTTCGGGTGGATCGTTGCAACTCTTTTCGGTCCATTTCTATTCTTGTTGCTGTTATTGTTAAGAAATGGGCGCTCTGCTATAGGAACGCCAAGAACCTCGTCCATCAGAGCCCTCATGATAGTCGTCGAGGCGCCACGAGCATCTGCGGAATTTCCCAGAACAACAGCGCCAAACTTTTTGTCGGGCATGAATATGAAGCGACTTGAAAAGCCCGGGATATTACCATCGTGCCCTACTACCATGCTCCCACGGTAAAAGTAAATCTCCATACCGGCGGTATAGTTTGCTGGCGTAGTATGAGCTCTCAACCTCCTCGCATTTGGATTGACGATAGATCGCATCTTGGTGAGCCCCTGATAAACCTTGTCATTAATTGGCCCCTCGCGATACAGAAGGGCCTTGACCCATTTTATAAAGTCGTTGGCGCTCGAGATAACGGAACCCGCACCTTGCCCTTCTGGACAGTCCTGAGCATCGACTGCACGGAATTGGTGATTCTCCCAGATGTGACCCTGTGCCATGCGGTCCTTCCAACCTTTATCGTAAGCGCTCTTGGGTTGGAGCGTTGTCGAGTTCATTTGAAGGGGGTCAAAAATGCGCTCTTCCAGAAACTCAGAGAAGCGCTTCTTAGACTTTTCCTCGACTAGATGGGCTGCCACCGTATACATCATGTTGCAATACAAATAGCGTGACCGCAGGGGAGCGGCTTCTTTAAGATTTCGGAGATTTCTGGTGACAGTCTTGGCGTTATCTGGTTGGGCGGCGTGTTCGCCCATGTAGGAGTTATCGTGGCTATGTGTACCGTCAGATGGG